CACTGTTGGAAGATGCCATCAGACCCTGGGGAGTTATTCATCAAGAGTGTTTCCAGTATCTGAAGTACTTCACACTTCACTGATACTGTCTGAAACTGAACCCTGTCCTTCCTCTGCCTGAGGCCTGTTGTTGACTTCTTCCTCAGTGAGCAGCTGAGTGAAATGCTTGTTTAATGCGTCAGCCATTTCCCTTTCATTGTTTTGAAGTTTCCCATTATTGTCCTTTACACATTTTATAATTGTTCCTTTCGATCTCTCTTGGTCTTTATAATATACTATGACCTGTGCTTGCAATCCATTGTACTCCTTTTCTTTAACTGGATCCTGTTATTATTTAAAGAATTTTCTAAATTGGACAGAATGAGAGCTGAAAGTGTTTTTTTTTTGTCTGTGGGCAACACGGCATGTCAGCTTGCAGTAAACAGAGGAATAGAAGAATAAGATTGGCCGGGAAAACCAGAGAAAATCCTAGGCAGCCCACTAATCAAACAAGAGTTCACGAGGAATGACAGCAGCCGAAAGCTTGGGAGAAATTAGAATCGTTTATTGGGATGTGGAGATTTGGCGTAACCCGCTTGGCTGAGGTCTAACCTCCCGGCCATTGGACGGGGAGGATAGGACCCCCATGCGACCAATTGGGTAGAGGGGGTGACGTTTGATATATATGGAGACCGGTTGTTTACGTCAGAATTAGTGGGAATTGCGGCAGCTGTGTCGAATGAGCTTGGCTGCCTTCATTCCTCCCGAACTTTCATTAAACATTAGGTGGGGTGATCACAGCAGAATTATCTCCACTGTTCTGAATGATAATTCCCAAGGAATGACCTTCCATATGCTAACTGTCCAGTAGAGGCTGGCAGGGGAGACAGAGCCTATCCCAGCACACCCTCACTGGAAAGCCAGTCCATTCCAGGGCAGATGGACACAAGCACAGACACGATCCCTCACCAGGGCCAGTTTTCCCAGAAGCCACTTAACCTAACAGTTTTGGCCTATGGGAGGAAACCAGAGGAAACGGGAGGAAACCCATGCAAACGCAGGGAGAACATACAGACTCCACACCGATAGCACCCTGGGCTCCATCTCTTCGGGGCAGCAAAGTTAGCCACTGCCTCTTGCTGTCCCCTCGCGGGTGAAACCATTTGTAATTGTTTGAGGGCCTGTGGCGGCCTCCAGTGGCAATTCTCCTGTAACTGCAGCCTCATAGACTGGCCGATTTCAAGAGCAGTACTCGATGTGCAAAATGTAGTGTCTCCCAGCAAGGAGGATTGTCCAGCAGAATTTTAGAAACGCTGCTGTCTGCTCGTTTCTCCCTACTTCATAAAAATGATTGAGGAGTTTACCTCCTCCTGCAGGATCTCACAATCTATGAACTCTTTCTCACTTCTCAGATTAATGCCCTGTTGCTTTGCTCAGGGATTCCTGTAGGAGTCTGTGATTCATGAGGGCTTCACCAAATACAGGTATCGTCTGACAACACAGGACGTGTGTTTGACCCGATCCCTTTCTTAGAAGGAAATGGGGGTGCTGTGGGGGTGTTCCCTCGGTGTCCGAAAAGCATTCGACAGAGTGAGAGGGGTGTTTTTATTAACAGTTTCAGAACATCTGGGTTTGGCAAAATCTTTATCAGATGGATTAAAATGTTTCATCATTTTCATTCACCATCTGTAATAACAAATGCATTCATTATACAAGTCTTGAGGCTATTTAGAAGACCTAGACAAGATCCCTGTGGCTATTTTCTGTCTTTATTGAACCTTTGGCTGTGGCTATCCATCTAAATGTGTAGAAACCTAAACAAGACATAAAACCACTCTATATGCATGATGATATATTACTGTATTTACAACAATCAAATATTACTATTACAAATAATATTTGCACCCATATTTTTCAGTGCTATAATGTAATTTTGGTTACATTGCAGGTTACAGATTTGATTGGTCTAAATTAATGTTCCTGTCATCAACTAACCCGATCGGAATGGAAGAGCCCTGGGCCTTCCTCTGCTCCGCCAGTGAGATTCGATACTCATACCAGCTAATGAGAGAGAATTCCATTATCTTTATCAGCTTCCATCCTGAGAATCATCCCTCAGGATCTTGAAAGAACTCCCATCTGTTTTACAGATTGTACTGTGAGAGAACGAATGTACACCCAAAGATAAACCTATTTTCTGTCATCGATGTGTAACAATAAAAAAAAAAGTGCGTGGAGTTCTCGGAAACAAGACAGACCCCCACAGAAGCAAAAACATCCCTGAATTCCCACTCCCACATCAGCTGTAGGCAACACGTGCAGATAAAGGAGGTGTTTTATTTCACCTGTGATTTCCCAATCAGTAATGGGTGTGATTCATTTGGGTAATTGACATTCTGGGCCTTCTCTTCATGTTTGCATTTCCATGTAGATTTCAAATAGCATTTAAATTGGTTAAAACTGAACAAGGGTTTTTTTTTCTCTACTGATACTGGGTACAGCTGAACGAGTAAGCAATCCAATACACCTGAAGAAGTAATAGGTTAATTCCATGCTGAAAAGAGAAGAAGGAAAAGGCTGTGGAGCCTTCTTCAGGTGACACCTTTATCCTCTTTTCAGTATGGAATAAACCTTTGCTTGTTCCTTTGTGGCCTACGCACGCTGACACAGCTACCCATCTGAACTATCCCAATACACTTGTTGTACATGGCAAATACAAAATCTTGAATCTTGGACTTTGTCTTTAAGTGTGCGTCCGCATCCCGTCTCAATTGTTGGAAGTATATAGCGGATAAATAATTAGAGAGCTGTTGTAAGATTAGTTAGTGATGAATTGTTGAAAAAGCTTGACACATTGAAGCTACTTTTAAACTGCTATTAACTCATTTTGTATTTTTAATATGACTCATGGTTTTTCTCCAATATCCAATATTTGGTTTTACCAATGGAATCCTAATCCCCGCTAACAGAAAGACTGGATTTTGTTTCTAACTAAGGTCTGGCTACTGATGACATCTGTAAGTGCCCAATGAGAATGAGACTCACCGGTAAGCAGTGAAGCACCAGAGTTTGCAAAGTAACTGGTTTGTAGGTGCGCACAAATAAGCATATTTCTCTTAAAGATTGCTATTAGGTTGTGTGAACCTTCCTCCCCCAAAAAAACAAAAATAGAAATGGAGTTTTGCACGGAGGATGTTTTCTCTGAGCCCTGTATCTGTTGTGTATAAGGCTACTTGAACATGACAGTGGTACAACACAACTGCTGATTATTGTTAATACCCTGCAGGAAATGTGGGTTTCCGGCACTCTGTTCCTGTTTGCTTCCATTGAGGGAAAAGGGTCATCCATTCAATATAAACGTTTGCACTGAGTTCATTAAACAGCTAAAAGCCTATTATCCTCCAGCCTGATGAAAATAAGAGTAGCTATCTGCTCACAATGTATTGGATAGCTGCTTTCTTGTCTTTTGGTATTGGCCAACAATTATCCAGTTTCAGGAGAATATTTGAGACATCTGTCATCTTGGGCTGTAACATTCCTGTCTCCTTGTTGTATGTTTAGTTGAAGGTATTTCTTCTATTAACTTCAGCAATTCTCAGTTTTTATGTCGGTCACACCTTAAAACTAATAATACCATCTAGAAGCACAGGCCAAACATCTCCATTAACCAATGGCCTAACTTAATGACCGAAACATTAAGACCTCTTGAAAGATTCACTGCTTCTTTACAATAATTAATTCATTTATTTTTATCTAGAATCTTTCCTTATCCTTACTACAACCACAAGGGCGCCACCTCCTCAAATTTCAGGAAACATTAACTGTAGCACTATTGTTCTTTTCATATTAACACACATGCAACAATTTCCCCTTATGGTCAGTAACTGTTGTTGGCAAGTACAATTACTTTTCCATTATAATTGTGCTGGTGCTTTTTTGTAATCATGTGCATATTTATATACATATTCAGCAATAAGTTGTGGTCTATGTGGGTCCTAATTTCACAGTATAGTGATGGGGACTCTATATTTTAAAAAGGCACCGTACTTCGGATGAGACATAAAACTGAGGTCCCGACTCTCTGTGGTCATTAAAGATTTCTTGAAAAGAGTAGGGGTTGTCACCCTGGTGTCCTACCCAAATTCCCCTCTGGTCTCCTAATAATCCCCATCTCTGAACTGGCTTCGTCACTCTGTTCTCCTCCCCACTGATAGCTGATGTGTGGTGAGTGTACTGGCGCACTATGGCTGCTGTTGCATCATCCAGGTGGGGCTGCACACTGGTAGTAGTGGAGGGGATCCCCATTTCCTGAGTGGGGTATTCAGAAAAGCGCTATATAAGTGTAAGGAATTGTTATTAATTATCTCAGCTCTAGCCAATATCTAATAAAAAACAATTACTCTTCACATTAATTTCTTCCTTATACTGTGTTGGAATTTTAATCAAGGCCTTTCATTTTATTTCAGTGGTTATGTTAGACCCAGGTGAATGTAATATAGTAAAAACAACTGTCAAGCCCCAAATTCAATTAAAAAAGACTTTGATAAAATTCAAGACTGGGCCAACACCTGTCAGATTATTTTTAATGGAGACAAGTGCAGGGTTTCACATGCAGGTAGTAAAAACATACACTGTAAATAAAAAAAGGGAAACAATGAAACAGAAGAGACTACTTATTAAAAAGACTGTTTATGTTAACACATCAGTTACTTCTTCCACACAATGTGGAGAAAGAAAAAAAAGAAAAACATGTTAAGGTATACAGTTAAAAGCATAGAATTTAAATGTGTTAAAACTGTATCAAGTACTAGTGAAATGTAATTTAGAATATTGTGTACAATTTTGGTCGCCATATTATAGAAAATATATCGCTGTTCCAGCATCAGTCCAGAGAGAAGCAACCAGATACTGGGGCTGAAGGCCCTGTCCCACGCTGACAATCTGATAGGAAGCCAGAAGGAACTGATCGCCTTGAATAGCGAAGAGAACCTCACGGGAATTGAAGGTAATTCCTACCCCCTGCAGTAGGTGGCAGTAGCACCTGGATTTAGTTTTCGTATCTGGCTGCCTACACACCTCTTTGTCAGTTAAGTCTCCTGAGTTGTTTGGCATGAGAGGCTGTTCCAGCGCACTGCCCCCCCAGGAGATGCGTCATCTGCGCGGACTGTTTTCCCTCCAGCTCTATTGAGTATCCATCTATACGAATAAGGATTTTCCAGTACCCAGAAAGAAATTTGACCAATAGAGCCTCGGAACAACAGGATTCCCAATCACAAATTACAAATCCGAACTCATTAAATAACATGATATCTTTGTTCTTTTTGCCTTAGTTTTCATGTATAATCGAGTTTAGATAATACTGAATTTCCTCCTTATGGACATTAAAAGAGGGAGGTAGCACCGGATCAAATGTTTCGTGCATATGATATGTATCTACCAATTTTTAATAACAGATTTATTATGAATACATTTCCGGTGGTACACCTTACAAAACAAAACATCAAAGTCCTCACATCTGAAGTTTTACATGTCTGCGTAGACTTTGACCGCTCGAGGCTGCGAGAGCCGGTGACGTCACTTCCGAAGACTCTCGGGCGGGTTTTGCGCAGAAGCTGCGCCAGTCCCGCGTGACGCGAGCGCGGCTGTCAGCTCTCCATTTGCCCAGATCTCTTACGTCACCGGCTCGAAACCAGCACCGAAAATATGGCGGCTGCGGGGCTGTCCAGAGAGCGGTGAATTGAGGGCGGGAGAGGGGTTAATTCATTTTTGAGAGAAAGAACCGAGACTCGGAATGGGTACAGGAGTTTTCTAACTCCTTTTTCCCCCCACAATGAAAGAGAGAAAGCCGCTGGGGCAAACTGGAGGGTAAGTCGTTTCAGCACTGAAATGTGTGGAGTAGCAACGGAAGCTTTGCGGCACAACTGAGCTGCGTCTGTTGTGTAGTTGTTGGAAAGCATTCACGCTGGCCATAACAAGTTAAATAGACCGAGCGTTTCTTCTTTTTTCTCGTCCATGACTTGTGAGCTGACCTTTGCTGACTTGGACAGCGGTGCTGTTTCTGAAGAAGCTGCTGTTCCGTGTTTAGGGTGTAGTCCTACATGTACCCCACTGCAAATTGATGCACCGGTTGGCGGTGGTTGGCCGGTGTGAGGCTGTTCTCCCGCCAGGAGAAGTCAGAAGTAAAGTAGTGTGCCGCCCGGATGGACACCGTTATCCTCGTGTGATTTCAGCTGGGAAATCTGCTTTTGCGTTGCGTTTCGGATGACGACAGTGGTTTGTTTTTGTGTGTGGCTGTTTTCCTCGTGTGAATCGAGCTGGGCAAGCTGCTTTTGCGTTGCGTTTCGAATGGCGACAGTGGGTCGTTTTTGGCTGCGGAGCACAACCCATTCACAGTTGATCATCCTGACCAGCTTAGCTTGTGACTGTCTCGGTGGGGGGTGTGTGGTGTGTGCGCTTGATCACTTGATGCTTTGTCTATGAGGTGCCACTGCGCATATCCTGACTGCTTGTCGTTTTTCCACACTTACTGGTTATTGTCCCGGCAGGGCCCCCCGTGTCGCGCGGGACAGGGGGCTCCGGTCCTTCCAGTTCAGTTCAGTACAGGCGGCGCTCCAAACTCTCGCCAAACCGAAACCTATCTCTGAGTCACGGGGTGCCAGCAGGAGAGAATACCCTGGCCAGGTCACCAGACCTTCTCAGGATACACACAGTATGTAGGGAGACAGTGATCCTGCCAGCATGTTTTTGAAAGTTGAGAAAATCCGTGCGTATATGTGTAGCAACTTAACACAGAAAGTACCCAAAGTCCAGATCTGTGAGCCAGTAGTGCTGTCACAGCACTGTGCCATAGCAAACTTTATTTTGGATATATAGCTTTCTTTTAAAAAGTCTAATCATTTTTTAAAGATCTTACCCGATTATATGCAGTGTTTTATTTAATATATAAAACCAGGAAAGCTGGAGGAAGGGAGTTGTGTGATGAGCTACCTGTTAGTTGTCGTGGTCTTGTCTTAAGTCACCTTGTTTACTGCTGATAGCATGTTTTCTGCTGCTGTTTTAAAATGAGTGAAGTTTTTGTTGTTAAGCTCTGTCTCTGTTGCCAACTTAGAGATGTTCAACTTTATCAGAGATGTCTTGGAGGGTAGGTTGGACTTATAAATGAGTCGGGTGACTAGCTATTTTATGGGCTGATATATTTCCGCTGATAAGGAGAACAGAGTTTGACAACATAGTGGCTTAATCCCAGTCTGTCCCCTTCACCCATCCATTTTCTTGCTGCTTTTTCCAATCCGGGGTCACAGGTTATCTGGAGTCTATCCCAGCAAACAGTGGGTACACACACGTCTTTCGCAGGGCACGCACACGCATACACTCACACCAGGGCCAGTTTTCCCAGAAGCTAATTTACCTGTGACCTGTGTATTTGGACTGTGGGAGGAAATCCACTCAAACACAGGGAGAACATACAAACTCCACACAGATAGCAGCCCAGGAACTGAGCCAAGGGCTCCAGCGCTGTCAGGCAGCAGTGCAACCCACTGCACTGCCAGGCTACCCTCCATCATCTTCAGCACCATATAAACGCACACAGGAAAATACCACGCCTGTCTGTGTAGACCTTTACTGATGTAAAATCAGCTGTGTATATAAATCGGGGTGCTGGTCTGGTCCTTCTGCAGATGTGATCTTTGGTGGCTGTGGTTAGGCTGATATGGTTATTTGCCCATCTTGAGCTTTTAGCCTTCACTTGATGCCACTGGGAGGAAACAGGTCTGAAGGTGGCTGATTTGGATACATGGCAGAATAATCGCTGAAATGCTTTGATAGAAAATTAGCTTTGTGATTCTTGAGCAAGTGTACAACTTGTACCCTCTGGGTTTGGCAGAGAGCCTGGTTATGACTTTATGTGAGGAGCTGGCCTTGGCGTTATACTTTGACTGGTCCTATTGGGAAATAGCCGCCTTTAAGCAGGAGTCTTTGGCGGGGTTGGAGTTTCATTTCTCTGAAAATGAGTTTTCTCTTTGGAGCTAGTTCAAAATATTGCTCAGCAGCAGAGCCGGCCGTAGCTGGGATGGGGAGGGGTTTGTGCACAGGTTTGTGCTTGGCACCGAGGTGAAGAAATATTCAGGTAACACGTTAGAGGACTGACCCAGCAGCCTTTTTTGGTTTTGTTATTCGTTTTGTCAGCCTCATAGCCACAGAGCGAACCTGTTGAGGTGCTCAGCACAAAAAGATACAAATGAGTAAAGTACTGGGATCCAGGTGGTGAGGGTGCAAGCCAGGCTTATGTCGCCTTGTTGTGATCAGTTATCCCCCTTGTGGAAGCACATGTTTGGGAGAACGCTGCTGGGGTTTGGATTGGGATTGGCCGGCCAAGTCCTGGGGCTCCAGCGATCGCTGCATCTTCCCGGTCACCTGCGGGCTGGTGGTGGAGTCGGTGAGGGTTGCTGTCAGTGACGAACCTGCTCTACTTCGGGATCGGAGTGTGTACTGAGTCTGAGGATGAAAGAGGGGCTGGAGGGAGTCTTGTCTGCTGTTCCTCCTCTCCATATGGGTGCAGAAGTGACTGTTGTGACAGAACGCTATGTTTGCTGGTTCAGAATCCTTTTAACATACAATTGACAAACAATGGGAAATTCTAAGTTATTTCTGACTCCCAAGAATCTCCGCTTTATTCATCTTAAGTAATGAGCTAGAGTTTTTGTTCAGGAATAAGAAATGTGCTGTATTACTTTGGCGGAAGGTTCTGATATTAAATGTTTATCGGGAGGTTTAGGGATGCTGAATAACCTTGGCTGGGCTCTCTACATCTGCTTGAGTTATGCATTTCGTGGTGGAGGACGAGTTCCTTACTAGTGTAGAATAAAAATCCCCTGGAGACCTTTTTGCTGAGCAGAAGAGGAGTTTATTGTATATTTAGCCAAAGAGAAGCACCCTCCTCTCAATTAGGAAGATGGTTCCAACAATAAAAGTTACGGCTGACCTTTTATACACTTACTTGATAAGGAATACAAAGAGCTTAAGTCTCAAAAAGGAAAAAAAAACTTCAGTCTTAATTAATTAATTTAATTAATTTCTATTGGTTAAGGAAACTTCTGCTTTAATCTGAAGATGTCTACACAACTAAGCTATATCAGTGTTTTCTTCAAGCAGGTAGTTATTATTCTCCACAAAATAATTATTTGGGATTCTTAAAACAATCATTCTTTGTGTCTGCGGGTCCCTCGTATTATCAGCAGGAGATACTGAAATGTTGAGGCTGGCATTTTGCTGAAATAGAGAAAGAAATAATTTTTCACTAGATATCACTGTGTTACAGTGTTGGGATGATGGTTACTGGACACGCAGGAAAGCATGACTTCTCCATTGGACCAAGGCAATAAATAGTCATATCTCTTTATATGATTTTACCAGGTGAAGTATCTTAAGAACGCTCATTTGCAGTGAGAACCTAGAGAGAGCTCATTGACAGTAAGACATGCATAGAAGCTACTTGAGTGAAGTGCCTTGCTCAAGGCTATGCCAACAGCACCTCTTCGGTTCCGAACCCTCGCCACTCCTTCACGGTGAAACCTCCAAAAGGATTTTAAAGAGGATGTGAATGATCCCACATGAAATTCCCCCAAATTCTTCACCTTTTTGTCGCATGCAATATTTAAATAATCATTCTGGTAAATTCTGATCAAGAAAGTCCAAGATAACACTATTTACATAAAGCTATGTTATTTACAAATAATGGATATTCTAGTAAATCAAAAATGTTTTCCAAGGTAATTATTCATTATATACATTCTGGTAAAACAAAACGTTTTATTCTTTGAGGTCTGGGTCTCAAGTGACGATTCTCAGAATGAAAATCAGAAAATAGTAAAAAACCACCAGATCTTCAGCGACTTACCAAGCCAGAGAGAAAACGCAGTACGGTATTAAAGTGAATCTGCAGTATTTGCGTTCCTTTTTTATAGTACCATTAGCAAATTTTTCAATGTGTAAAAAATTGCTTTTAAGAAAGCACTGCAGCGCAGGTGGTGATTGTGAGGGCAATGAAAACAATGTGAATCGCAACCACAAGCCATTTCTACGCTGGTTTATTTCATCTTGCTGCTGTCTGAAAGCTGCTTGTTCCCGCGGAGGAGTTCCAGAAGGCTGTCCTGGAAATGCCGGCTGCACGATAGGCCTGGAGTCAACTGCACAGGCAAATATAGCGAAACCATTTAGCACAGACAGTGTTTGGAGTGTGGGAAGGAACTGGAGCACATAGCCACAGGGAGAATATGCAAAAGCGCGGCTGGTTTAACTGCCTTAAAAAAAATTTGGTGCGGTGCTTATGCAGAACTCTCAACGGGCAGCACTCAGTTGGGCCAGGGCTATTTCTACGCTGTTCCAGCCACTGTGTCTGTTGTTGCCACTTCAAACAGTCTGAGTGGAGGAGTCAAAGGCCTCCTCCCCCTCTGTCAATACCTGACCTTCTGTGAGATTCATCTTTTGCCAATAATGCCAGCTCTTGTTGTGGAGGGAGAAATGTGCAGCAGCGTTCCACACCTCAACGATGGCCAGAAACAACACACAGTGTCACAGAAATGGCTGGGATTGAGGGGAACCTGTGTTCCACACCACAGGCATGGAGATGGCTGGGAATAAAGTGCACTAGTGTTTCTCACCTTGGTTGCGGAGGTGACTGGCAATGAGGGGCACCAGTGTTCCGTGCTGGGGAGATGGCTGGGAATGAGGGGCACCAGTGTTCCGTGCTGGGGAGATGGCTGGGAATGAGGGGCACCAGTGTTCCGCTCTGCGATGGTGGCTGGGAATGAGGGGCACCAGTGTTCCGCTCTGCGATGGTGGCTGGGAATGAGGGGCACCAGTGATCCATGCCGTGGAGGTGGCTGGGAATGAGGGGCACCAGTGTTCCGTGCTGGGGAGGTGGCCGGGAATGAGGGGCACCAGTGATCTGCGCTGTTGGGATGGCTGGGTTTCCATTCATTTTGAATTTTTTTTTTCCAAGAGCTAGAAAAGGAAGTTGGTAGAGACCGTGCTTGATCTGCACCATGAGTGCTTCTTCTGATTCTGCTGATGTGGGGAAAAACACCTATATACAGTTATTTTCAACTCAAACTCTGATTCTTAAAATTAAGTTGCATAGTTTGCATGTTGCATGTGGTTATAGACTCACTTTGCAGAGTTCAGCATATCAAAGGACTTTCCAAATTTTAGTCCTTTCTTTAAGGTGTTCTTTTGAATTTTAGTTGCTGTTTTGAATTTATCTGACCATATAAGTTTTATTTTATGACATTCATAAGATTTGTCATTTTTGAAGCAATGACATGTTTCAGCAAAGGAAGAAAGAACTATGTACTGTGTTTGTAGATCATTTAAGCAGTATCTGTATACATGTATGCGTTTTTCTCTAACTTTGTTTGTTCTCCAGTTCACATGTTCTCAAAGTGTTCCTTCTCTTGCAGAGTAGATGTATGAACAGTGTAAACTGGCTCTGTTTACTTGTTTACTGGGGTTGAACTGTTCTGGGTTTCACAAGGTGCAGTAAGGATTTTGCTTGTGCAAATGTACTGCTTTAAAAACACTAACAACTTTGAAGAGACAAAAGGCTGGTTTTGATGTATAAGTGAAACACTCATTCTGGAAACACCTTTAAGGATTATTTGCCTTGTGATTTGCAAATCACCTGTTTGAGGTGACCAAAGACTTCTCTAGTAGATTGTGAACATCATGAAAACTGACTGCATTTTTTCAGTGAAGGGTGGTGGTGCTGAAGTTAACAAGTGGGCTGCACTTTACACTGTTGAAATGACTTCAATTTTTAGCATTCATGAGTGTGTAAGTATAGAGATTCCATGTCTTTAACACAACAGAGAATCACTTGACATGGCCATCTTTCTCTTTAAAACCTTTGCACTGTACATAAATGCAGTGCCTTTAGTTTGATATTTCAGTACAAATGGTATGGAATTTCTTAGCTTCGGCCCTCACTTGGTGTGGTTTACTTTCTGTACTGAAGCCTTTTAGACTAAACCATAACAATGAGCTTGTGTGTTGATTTGCATACTGTAGAGTGAACTCCAGTGCTGTCAGTGATGTGCAGGTATCTAATTGTGAGCACATATTCACTCTGCAGCACATGCTGATTGAATGTCCTTTATTTCATTTGAGCCAGAAGGTGTCCTGATCACCTTGTCCTTAACACAACGTTTCTATTGTTCTGTGGGACTTTGTTACAGCACTGGAAAGAGCAAGCATTCACACCAGTACTGATCTTTCACATTACTGACTTAAACTTATTCGTATTGTTGATGCCTTGACTAGTCTGACTCCATTTGAAACTCTGCATGTGTTTGAGCAGGTTGAACTAGTCAGAGAGCCAGAACACGTGAATTACGCCATCTGTGGTGTAACATAGTAATATTTATTGTTTTCTGGCCCGAGCCCAGCTTCCCCATCCCTGGGTGCTGCTGCTTACTGTCCTGACTCTTTTGTGAAATGTACAGAAAAAATAATAATCCTGACAATGGTGTGAGACACTTTGAGATAATGAAAGACAATATAGTATGTCTGGTTCAGAAAATTAAAATGTGACGTTTTATTAATTCAGGAAGTTCTAGGTTCACTTACAGGTCTCTGCATGTCCTAGCTTCTGCTCACAGGTTATTAGGTTAGCCTCGGTTTTGCAAGTCTCTAGATTTTAGGCTGTTTAGACTTGGATGCAGTAAGACATCTATTTGTGTTTCTTTGTGTTTCAGGAATCGAGCCATTACAGATTTCTACAGACCCAAAAGTAGTTCAGGTATGTATTGGTTTTTGTTCATTAGAGTGTGAATTAAAATAATAGTAGTAATAATAACTCCATACTTCACTATAGTGCTTTTTATCCCAAATAATCCCAAAGTTCTTTACATGTATCAGGGGAAGCACTCTATCCAGCACTGCAGTGGTGATGTGTGGCAGGCATTTAACACTCCTGCTCTTTTGAAAAGTTCCTAGAGGAGTCCCTAATAGCACAGTGTTTTCTGTCATCATACAGAGGTGTGGAAACTCTTATCCTGATATTAATATAGTTCGAGTAGATAGCTATGTCATAATGCATAGACTGCAAACAAGTAAAAGTTATTCCATGCTGAAAAAAGAAACACAGTGTTTTGGCTGTGGAGCCTTTTTCGGGGGTGAGCCTTCTTCAGGTAATACCCGAAGTAGGTTGCACAGCTGAAACATTGTTTCTTACTTCTCTTTTCAGCATGGAATAAACCTTTACTTGTTGTTGTTATTATAGCACCTTTAAAAGTGGCTTTTCAAAGCACTTTACTGAACAACAACAATAACAAAGGAAGAAATAGAACAGAATATGGGGGTATGAAATACAGAGACAAGCCAAGGGCACACAGTACCAGTTAAATAAAAGAACTTTTACAGTATGTTCAGAATTCGGCAGCCAGAATCCTGACCAGGTCTAATGCAAGTGATCACATTACTCCTTTCTTGGAATCCTTGCACTGGTTTCCTGTCAGGTTTCATGACAAGATGGGAGAGCAACACCTACTGGTCCACCAGCACCATTACAGGTGCAGCCTGTTTTCCTTGGAAGTTTCCTATCCCAGTCCCGTCAGGGCCAGCCTAGCTAGGCTATGGAGATCTGATGCGATTAAATGGTTAATGTTAAAGACGAGTATTAAAATAATTTTAATAGTTCAAATAAATAAACACTTATAATAAGGCATGTTAAAATATCTGGAGCTCAGCCTTCCAGGCCTTCTTTGCCTTGCCACACAACATTAAACCCGGCAGAGTATCAGGCTCCTGCCGGCTCTGCTGTGGAACATAAGATTTTAGAAGATCGTGTGCCCGGTGCTCATCCACCGTGCTCTGGTGCTTCGGGGGTCGCAGCAGTAACAGCCGATCTGACTGAAGGGATTCTGAAGGGGGAGAGGGGGATGAAAATAATTTGTAATCCCAAAATAAAAATAAATGGTAATAGTCTTTCCAGCAGAGGGTACTAGTATATCGGGCAAAAAGATCATTTTTTAAATCATTTTTATGTCCAGTGTGGTCAGAGGAGCCTGCAAGCTTGGTTTGAGGGTAGTATCCTGCTGGAGCAGGGAGCTGGCAGCCACGTGCAGACCGCTGGGCAGCAGCCTTGAGGGTGCTTTCAAGCTGTAGCCCCATGACATCTTGAAAATGGATGTAGTAGCCTTGAAACCCAGTATAAAAACTAAGAAGGAAGTCAGAGGCAGACTATAAACACTTGACTTCCACAGATGTGGCAACACGCAGGGGAGGTGTGACATTGTGTGGTGCAGAGGCCCCGCACTGCAGAACCTCAGAGATACAAACACCGCAGTCTCAGGCCTGGGAGGAGTGACAGTGACAGGAGAATAAACCTAAGGAAGTAACTTGTTATGCAAGCGTGAATGTGTTATTATAGTTTAATACAGCACTCTTTTGTTTTTAGCAGGTCATTTTACAATAGTAAAACTCTTTGTTCTTTCATCTTCCGTTTGCAGCAGACATTGCAATGGGTAGATTTTGTTTTTTCACGGATAATGGAACAGTAACAAAATATCTGAATGACGGCAGGTTTCACTTAAACAGACAAGCTCGGGAGGCATCTTTAAAAACTGAATATTCATTGTAAGTAAAGTTTACACAATGAATGGAAAGTTGAGCATAAGTACTTGACAAGGTAAGGAATTTCCATCCACATACTACAGTTAAAATAAGATGGTAAATGTATGCATTCCAAAATTATGAAGTTTTTTGGCCTGTATGAATGAGTTTATCAATTTTCAGTCATAAGGATTTATGAAAGGACATCCCATTTACTATTTTGTAGTTTTAAACAATTCAGAGTTACAGACCTTCTTCATTTCCAGGTTTTTGCAGCTCTGCAGTTCTGCTATATTTGTGTTTTTAGATTGAAAAAAACACAAGGATTGGACATTCCTGTGTTATTGAATATGTTCTGAGCAACCTAACCCTCTGTAAGCTGTATTTTCATACATTTATACCTTGAGTTCTCTTGTTAGAGTCAATTAGACTCAAAATTGCTATAATTGTTGCTCAGAAAGATCTTGATGGTTACAGTGTTGGTAAAATGTCTTCACCCTGGTGTTAGAAGGCAAAAAGTAAACTTCAGCATACAGGTCTGAAGAGCTTACTTAGGCACATAGAAGAGGTGCAGTCCTGTTTATTCATTTCTCTCTCTAACAGCACTTCCCTTTTTTGTTTTAGAGCTAGCGGTGAGCTGTAGGAATCAACATGCTTTCATGTTAAAGTCTAATGAGCAACCTAGAGTGATTCATGCCAGACTGGAACTGGTAGATCTCTTGCATGACGTGCCGACCAGAACCCCCACTCTCACTTTACACAGATGACCCACCAGGAGCAAGAGGGTTGCCTCACCATCCAAGACAGTGGCACTCCCCCAAAAATAAAAACGATGACTGACCTCAGTCGCCTCCGAAAATACCTCTCCACCGTGGGTGAGACACAGTACATACACATTATAGCAGTACAGCTGTCTCAAATCACACTAACACCACACAGTACCCTCTGCTGCAGCTCTTATCTCAGATTATTCTTCTGGCTCCTTTTGCCTTTCTGTAGAAGCTTGCATATTGTTTCTATGCTGAAACAACTTTGTGATATTTTGTTTTTTTCCCCTTTTTGTTCTTCTTGGCTTTTTGTTTTGGTTTAGCAGATCATAATTCATGGATCCCTCTTACCAACCTTTTTGTTTTCTCACTGTTGTGTAATTGTTTGCGGGTGATTATAGAGTGTGCTTAGTTTCTGACTGTTTGGCTGTGTTTTGTGGCCCTACAGTGAAAGATCTCATCCCGCTTGGTACTCCCCGGCGCCCGAGCAGTGATGCCAAAGCGGATATCTACACCAGACCAGGCATCCGGCCCTCTGATCCCCCTATGAAACCCAGACCAAGTGACACTCTCCCAAGGCAGAGTGTGCCCACCAGAAGCCCGGTCACAGAGCAGTTCAGTAGAACTACACTTCAGGATGATACACCGCCAAGCTGTGGGTCCACAGGAAGACATGCCAAAGTCCCCAGCGTGGTTGTGAAAAAGGTCCATCTTCCTACTTCATATTCGTCGTTCAAAGTTGGAGAGAATGACAAGATCACCCCCTTCTCCCCGAAGGCAGAGCCGTCTGTCCACAGGAATGGCCATTGTGGTGGCATGAATGGAGAGGAGATGATCATCCAGGTAATGTGTTGAGCCCCTGGTCTCCAACAATGCAAAGATGCTGCATGTTAGAAGTCAGCAGTGTATCTTCCCTGTTTGTAGTCAGAAATATGCATGTTGGGTGCAGATGTGATTCTGAATATGTGCAGCATTGTCCGAAATCTAAAATATGTGTTCTGAGATACAGATGCAGACATCTACATTGTGTGTCAAAACTCACTTTTTTTAATGTGGCTGGTTTCACAGAAATTGTCAGTAAAGAATGGATTTCACAGAGTGACTATAAAACAAAATCAAAACAGAAATTGGTAATATTGCCATAAAAATATATATTATACATAGTGGTTTCAAAACAAGTATTTAAAAGCAAATAAACATGTAAAAATAAAAAAGGACAGATTAAAATGAACATTTTGAGTGGCAATCTGAATGACTGTGTCATGTACTGTAAATTTGATTTAAAAATAGTGCCTTGTTCCCAATGTATTGAAGCCACATTGTTAAAATTAATTTAAAATAACTTTTTTAACATTCAGATTTCTAAGTTTTTGTCTTTTTACAGTCCAAGGCATTTTCCCTGTGTGAGAAACACCTTTCTCGATGAATTTCTGTTTTTTCAGATGTGAAATTTCCCGCCTGTTGTTCCCAGATATGCTCCCTGCTGTACTGTCCATCAATTAGAAACTACCCTTCTCTTCCTGATAGCCCTTGCTATTCTGCTGGCTTTTTATACCCAGTTCATTCCAAGCAATGCTTTGTAGACATGTGATGAATTTTAATAAAAATGTGCTTCTCAGTTTAATATCTGATATGTCCCCAGCACAAACGCATGAGTTTAAAAGCTATAGAAAACTCTTTTAGATGGTTAAACACTTTTTATGTATGAAAAATGGGTTCTATTTCTTATTGCTTCTCCTTACTGCTAGGGCACAAGTGTTTTCTCGCAGGGATTCATTTTTATTTTTTCTCTCTTTCTCTAGCTGTGGTTCAGAAATTCCTTTTGAAGATGATACAATTCCTTTTTTATTTTAAAAGAGTCATTTTAAAACGAAACACAAAGTATCATAGCATGTAGTTTTTATTTGCATGTGAACCAAGTACATGGACAAGAAAATTAAGTTTCCCCAATGTGTCACAAACGCGAATATCCACTGTTCAATAGTGTACATCAACTTCAGTATGTGTCATTCTTGCAAACTGTCTTAATCTATATGCTATTACAGTCTTTACACTAGTTTTGCAAACGATCATTAAAATTAATTTTAATTAAAATATTTTGAGTGGTGAATACTGTACCAACAGCAAATTGCAATATTAACAATTAAATATTGTGATCTTAATTTGGTGCAGACTTTTATAGTACCTGACAAAGTAATTCAAATCACTACTCAGACCTTTTCCTCTTGCCTCTTTTTTTCGTGTTTGCTTGCTTTTAAATACAATATTTTTAAAGATACTATGTATAATTGTATAATAAAAATACTAAATTAGCCATTTCCTAAATATTTGTTTAAATACAATTACTAATACTTCTGGACACTGTAATTAAAAAATGATAATTCTATTGTTGTTGCACAGTATTGTGACAACTCATTTTGTAATGTAAGTAATGTTGTAACATCAGATCTCAACAATGTAATCACTGGATTTCATGAAATAGTTTTTTACTAATAAAGTATGCATACATTATGATTAGTGCAGCAAAGCACTAATGGTTTAATATATATTTTATATTGTGCAGTTTTAGAGAGTAGCGTAGTCTTGAATAAGCCGTAACGCGCAGCTGTCCAGGTCACCATGGTGACACTTTGCTCATTTTAGATGGCTGCATCTGTATGCGGTGTTCTGTTAGTTAATACCCAGAACATCAGCCTGCCTGCTAGTCTTCAATGACAGGCCTAGTAATTGATGACAACTTTCTGTTGGGTTGGAGTCAGAAGCCTTCTTAAAAACCAGGGATTCTGGTTAGAAGTTTTGTTTCCCTCTTGGACTAAAATAACCTTTTTATTTGTGGAAGAAAGTTTCCCTCGTTGCTGCGGGCAGATAATATTGGCTGTCTGAGATAGAGGCCCACTGGCACTCTCCTCTCGTGTCCTTGACTGCTGATCAGTCCTTCAAAACTGTTGTGCCAGGTGGGACCCGAGCGAAGGAGCCCCAGTAGCACCGTCTTGGACGAGTACCACAGAGAAAGGAAGGAGAGGTGGAGGCTGAAGAGGTATCACCAGTCAACGGCCAGCCCTGGGTCGCCTCACCGCTGGGTCAGTCAGCATGAGTTCTTCTCTTCTGTAAGCAATCTAAGGAGCAAATTCATGCATTTCCTTTAGCCAAATGTGGATGAAGACTTTTCCAGTGATTAAAACCTGCAGGTTCAGGTTCCAAGTGAAGAGATTGTTCTGTAGTGTTTTTCTCCTTACGTTGTTGGCAATCAAGTGTTTCCCTTCTTGTTGTGTGATGCTTGTGATTCATGTTGATGCTTAAGGAAGAAGTGTTTTATAGGCTTAAGGATTGATTTGTGATGTACTTTGTAGGTGAACTTTTGGCTTTTAGATCTTATTTGACCTTGATGTTTTGTGTGTTGTATGGTACATATTATGATAGAAATCTTGATTTTCCCCCTCCAGGAAAATGGGTCGTTAGAACACAAGAGATTATCTTCTGTTTCTAGCAAATCTCCAGGTGAGTATAAAAGAGCCTCTGTGCTGTTGGTGCTAGAATAATACATATTGCTGTCAGATTGTCTTTATAAATATCTCTAGGCTTGGTTCTCTTACAACAGTTGTATTCTGCATTGATTCCCTGGCTTTCACTATAGTGTTTTGTGGTGATTTGGTAGCTTGTCCAAGATCCTCAAATTTCATATCCAAGATGTCACATTTTATTGTATGTCACTTCTGTGTATGAAGTAATTTATTCTGATTGCCATTGGACTTTCAAATGCAGAGAAAGCTTGTTAAAGGATAAGATGCAGGCTGATTTCACAAATGAGGTTACAAAGGAATATACAATTGCACAAGGTTTGGCACCCGGTGATTTAATTTACTAGAACATCTTTATTTGCGCTCTCCGGTATGTATAAGCATTCATTAAACATATAAGTGCTGTTAATTGGTATCTTAAATTGAGGCTTAAATAAATGTTCTTTTTTAGATACAGATCAGTTGTAGAATTTGTTTTTGGTAATTATTTAAGAACTAGTTGTCACATTACTTTTTTTTTTTTACTTTTTTTATTCACCTTCAGATGGCAGTTCAGCTCTGTCTCCGAAGACTGCAGAGACTTTGCCGTGTGTAAATAAGCTGCCTACAAAGAACATCAAGAAACGTCTGTTCTGTTCTCCCTCCCCTGACCGTCACTCCCTGCCCTCAGTGGAGACATTTCATGGGAAGAGGAAGAGAGACCTGGTCTCGGATGCCGACGGCAGGGAGGGAAAGAAGCCTTGTCTCTCAGAATCTAGCAGAGGAGGCAGCGATGTGACCAAATCCAATAACTTGAGGCCGGATTTTGCCAAGACAGTGACGCCTTCCCACAGAGCTGCTGGCAGGCCAGCCCCTGTGGCGAAGTGTGCCAGCTGGGAGAATGAGCACTCTTCTGCCCGCTCCCTGCCCAGTGCGAGAGAGAGTCACGGGATTAACAGGGAGATGAAGGAGAACCATAGATCCCTTTCTGATGCCCTGAAACGAAAAGCAAAACCTATCGACCATAAAGAGTTGAAAACTGTTTTGTTGCGTCGGATGGCTAAAGTGAGCAAAGGGGGATCGAGCCCTTCTTCCAGAGAGGAGGGCCCCAGGCGGCATTCAAATGTAGGCACTGGAGACCGCGCTGTCACACAGGGGACCAGCTCCCGGCTGTCTCTCTCCAGCCCCGAGCACTGCCATGGTAATAACGACAGAGTAAAAGGGTCTTTGGGCGAGACTTTGCACAAGGGTTTGTTGCTTTCTCCCTCTGCCCTAAAGTCAGGACAGAGCCCTCCACCTCTGACCCAGCACTGCCATTCACCAGATCCTGAGCAGGACTCTCCTGGTGGCAATTCCAGTTCTTCTCCAGGAAAAAGCAATGGTAGTACTTTAGAGACTGAGGATCCTTCCACGACGCCACGCCCCCTTTCTGCCAGCACGGAGCACCAGGGCGGCCAAGGGAGAGGCTCCGAGGATAGGGCTTCTTTGGAAGAGTGGTGGGAAAGCATGGACATGAGTGTGAGCACCTGCCTGCCCAGCAGTGATAGCGAGAGTGAGGATGAGGGCCTGTTGTCTCTGGAGGAGCTCCTGGCCAGGAGCACCCGGCCCCCGGCCACACCAGAGAGGAGCTCCTACTCCGAGCCAAGCACGCCTGTGTCCTCTGCACCGGTAAGCACAGATCTCTTCACAGAAATGGTGATGATGGGCCTGTTCTTGCAAAGGCAGGAGAGTTGGGAGGGGTTGGGAAAGGGATTATAACTTGCTTTAATGTGTGTCTAGGCATTCTTGGTAAACATTTTCCTCAGTGTCTGCACGGTCACCTGTTTGCCTGTTATCACCTACTCTGTCCTTTCTTCTCCTGAGCTCTATATTCTTGCCATCTTACTCTCTCACACGCTTGCAAAAGGCTCGGCAGCCAAAACAATGAGCTATGAGGCAGCACTGCTGATGACTTCCTACAACAGTGTAAATTAGACGTTGTGTTCAATATGCAGGTTTACGCTAGTAACGTGGCGCTGTAATTTGGAAAATGTGCTCAACCATGACTGAACCATAATATTTATGTATTTTCAGTGTCACTGAACTGCATTATAGTCCTCTGTTTTTAGCAGACTGCTAATGCAGACGTGAGAGGGGATGGGGGTCCATCCACTGGAGCATGTATTTCCACCAGTCAGGCTGCCCTCCCATTAACCTTTGGTTTGTTTTTGGTTCCTTAGATGTGTGCTGGGAAATTAAAACTCCTTTACACTGTTGTGGGTGAATCAGTCCTTTGACATCACTTTTGGATGTTGTGTATTTTCAAAGGCTAATGTTTTAGCAAATTACATACATTACTTTGAAACAAACAATTTCTGAAAAATTGAACTTTCTGAAAAATCGAATAGTTTTGCACACTAGTTTCCAGCTTTCACTATTTCATAATTAATTCATAATTCCTCTGGGTGATGGGTGAGAAGTTAGGCTTTTGTTGTTCCTGGTATCAGACAAAGTTTGAAGCAGCCTGCACCCGATTAATCAGATTTTATCCCTGGTGTTAACTATGTCCTAGTGGGTTCAGTCCCAATAATACGAAAGGGAGAGGGCCAAAGTTAACATACTGGAGATGGGATGAGAGAACTGTTTTAGGTTCGTTCTTGTGTGTTGCATTGAAAGGTCAAGGAAATGAGGAGAGCAGTGTTTGTTCTCTCTTTCGTCTTCCCTACCTCACTCACATTTATTCTTTTGACTTCAGGACCTGCTGGCCAACACCCGACCGTTAAGTTACAAAAACAGCCTGGAGCGCCTGCTGAAGGAAAAAGAGCAAGACCAGAGGTGAGCTGGCTTTCTGTTTCAGCGCTTGCTGGCGTTTGGTCATTCTGGTGACTTGAGCTAGGAACCCTGATATGAGTGCAGTTAACAAGGTATTAGCACAAGACCACATGTCAAGCTATGGAAGAAGGACTATTACCCAGGATTCTCCCGGCTTTTGCCGCTCTCTGGTTTCTTGCGTCATGCACAGTTGCATTTTTGACCTTCCTTCCCTCAACGGGCTGATCGTGTCTGATTTTTCCCAGGGTGAAGGACATTGAGATGAAATTAATACTGTCCTGCAAGGAGGACATCCTGAAGCTGACAGAGGAGGTAGAGAGTGGTGCTGACGAAGAGGAGAGTATATTGCAAGAGCACAGGTAACCGACACATTTTGCTTACACCAGTTTTTAGCACTGTTCTGTAAAGGTGTTCAGACCAATTATGTATCCGGTATAATAACCACCTTAAAGCTTTCATACCTGAAATTCATTGCCAGTGAATTTATTTGATGGATAATTTGATAATTTGTTTATTTGATAGCCCACCCAGTGTGGAGTTGACAGTTGTCAATGAGCTCAGTCTGCCACTGCAGCCACAGAGAGGAGGAGTAGTGTACAAGCACTCCTTTCAGAGCTGTTTGTCTTTGGACTAGCTGTGATGGGTACTTTATCAGTTCAGAGTGCCAGAAGGAGTGTGAGGCCTGATGGGAGGAATTGTGTGTCTTTCATGTGCATGACTGCAAGCTACCTTTCAGCTTTTCAGCATGGCCAGATAAACAATATTAGCCATTTGGGTTCTGTCTTATTTCATGATTGTGCCCCCTCTCTCAAACGGAGTGTGAAAGTGTCTTTTATTCTTGACTATAGGGATTTTGTCCAGAAGTTTTCCATTATTCCCAACGCCATTCCCGATCTGCATCCAGGAGAGGAGATCTTCACGCTGTCAAATTTCGGGAAGCTCTTCAACCAGCACAGCCTGGACCTCAGGAAATGTGGAGTGATTCTGCAGAATGACACCCAGAAAATCTTTATGCAGTAAGACAAACAGCATGAATACTGCCTTTTTTCTAAAATGTTAATATACTTTTATGTACATTCGGGCTATGTCAAATTAAAGAAGGGTAGGCACTTGTTTTAAAATAAGAAAACGTGTTGATGCTGGGTGTGCTTGGATCAATATATCTGTTTCCATCCCTGTAGTGTCAAACAAATGACAAAGTTCAGGTGTCTGTGAAGCAGAAGTCTCTTTATTCATATGCATATGGAAGCTTGCAACCAACAGACTTAAAAAATAAGTTGCTGAAGATGGTCCTTTATACCTTAAAACACAAAGAGTTACTATGACACATTCTAAACAAATGATAAGACAGCAACACCTGCCAATTAATTATGTCTAAGTTGCAGACTAGACAACAGTTAGTTCTTTTCATGTTCTGGGCGTACAGCCAGCATACCAAATACATGCCCTTATCTTACTGACCAAGGCCAGGCAGCATCTTTATATACATTTGAGCACAAAACCTATGTCAAGCAACTAAACTGCATAGTTTGCAAAAAACATACAAAAACATGAAAATTATATTATTATCCAACTTCCTGGGCATCTCTCTTATCTCTTCATTCTTCATCCCCAATTGTAATCAGGTGTTTCTTCACTGGTCTTGTGTGTTACTCACATCTACTGTAGACAATGGCTTCTTGCCTTTGCTTTGCTTCATGTGATCCTTGTTCCAGTGCACTGAACCAGTTTGAAGTTAAGGAACAGAAATTCCTTCAATTAGCACCTGAAAGAGATGTGCAGTCCATGTCTCCAGATCTCTTTAATAATCTTAATTATCTTATAGTACTTTTCATGACACACAATCTCCATGGCAGTTTGCAATAAAATGAAATACAACATGAATATGCGATTTTATACTACAAAAGAAACAGAATTAAAAGATCTGTAAATGCAATTATTTTGGCCAGATTTAAATATGCTGATTGACTGGTAAGATTTGATATGAACTGGGAGATCCTTCCAGAGCCTTGCAGCACCAGTACAGAAAGTGTGCCACACAAATAAAAACCTTGTACCTTTAGTGTAGTTCTCTGATGGATACAGTCAGAAACAAGAGGAGGACTTCCCATGTGGTAGTAGCTAATTGAACCAAGATTGTTGTCTAGCCATTTTTTGAAAGAAACCAGGCTATCAGCTTCAACAACATGGCTGGGTAGTCTGTTCCATATTCCCACAGAGTCAGATAGGCTCGGTTGTCAGTCAGAAATCTAAACTGGGAGTAGGCTCGCTATAGCACTAGCTCTTCCCTCACCACAGTGCTCCTGTTGTTGTTCTTCAGAGTCGGGCCTGATGAGCAGACCTTCCTCATCAGCCTGGGCCTGTTGTCAACGGCCTACCACACTGTGCCCTGCCACCCCACCATGTCTAGATGGCTGTTCAAGGTAAGTCTAGCTGACCGGTATTACAATCAAAGGGATGGCGTGTAGGACAGATCATAAGTAAAATTACAAACCAAGGGAGGACATTTGACTTGACAGCAGCATTGCCACCTTGTAGCCTGGTCTCTGGAGTGAAGCAAGGCTGGGTCTGGTCTGTACTAAGGACTTTGTACCTAAAATGTGCAAAAGAAGATGTCACTAATTTTTTTTCTATATCACCATTATACCAGAATATCCTCATACAACAAATTGTTTTGTCGTTATTTTGTATGAACTCTTTTTATTCACCTTTCTTCCAATTTTAAAAGTTCTAGTTATCATTATGTGTTCACCGATAATGGTCAAGACTTGTTGAATAGAAGACGAAGCACTGGAAGAAATAAACAATCAATTGAAACTAAATAACATAACAGGATGTGGGCGTGTGAAAAAGCTGAAAGAGTAATATAGAAAAGATTTGGTTTGTCTTGTGACCTGGGGATGAATTGAGAGGTCTAAAGGAGAAGACTGGTTTGTCTTGAGATGCTGCTGGTGTGTAGTTTGAGAAGACCAGTTTTTAATTAAATTTACTTGTTTAAAGTCTTGAAATTACTCCTTAAATAAATTGTTTGCATATCAAATTATCTCCTTGGAATGACACTAAAAGGCATTTATTCCGTCTTCAGTGTCTTGGAAGACTCTCAGGGGCTCTCCTGTACTTGTGGGGCATTTCCACATTTCTTACATATGTCATGTTTTGACTTTATATTTGTCCTGTGTTAAATGTTTACACACAGATGATGTCTGTCCATCCAGACAGGAGGATTTCTACACAGATCCTTTGTGGGATGAAGGACATAGCTGTTCATGCTGCTTGTCAGATAGGTATGTCTGTAACTGCAAAACAAAGAGAACATTGCTTTGGACTTGTCTGTTGTGATTAGTTTGTTCATGATTATCGGATAAGACTGTTTGATGAAATTCTTTCTTCAGCACCGACCCACCTATCAGTGACACTGTTAAAAGTGAATATGCAGAAATGGCTTTATTTTTAATTTTCATGCTTGGTAAGATCCAGATAAAAGATAATGGAGTAGAGACGATTTTTTTCCACAAACATTGATTGTGGAATTTGTTTAATTTTGGATGTTAGTGGAAAGGAAAAGCCGAAGGTTCCTAGTCTGGACACCCTCCATTCAGGATGTGCTGATGGTCTTCCTCAACATGGGAGCCTCCTTCGCCAGTCTCTTCCCCCTGGAGACCCTGCAGCCCAACTTCTCTGAGGGGGACCTTATGTGAGTACCGGGCTGAGTACCAAGTGACAGGGCTTCTACAGAGCTACTGAAAACAAGTATCTGAATTTCCTGCAATTTGATTTTAGTTTAGGCAAAATTGATTAACTAATTGTTTAACCCTTGAGTTTTTGCTGTTGATCCATTCCAGTGAACAACTGACCAGACCAGTGATCTCTTTGATTTGGTCACACGAGTGTAGGTTTGTAAAGGAAGGTTAACAGCAGTTTTCAAGTGTGGGAAATTTCACAAAAATGTAAAATACATTTAAAAGGATTTTAAATTGCTTATCCTATTGTGTAACAATAGTGTAGCAGATTTTGCTTTAATTCTGCCCACTGGTAATGAAATAGATATCAAAAGCCCTAATGTGTGTTGCATCTCTTCATTAAAATATCCCATGCAGTCAGTCTGATTGAAGGTTTTTATGTCTCCTGTGCACCAGACCTGAGGTGAACACCAGGACAAAAGATTTGGCAAATGGCAAGGAACACTGTCTGAACTTCTTTCCAGAGCACAACTTTGTTAATGTAATCAAGGTGAGCTTCTACAATGCCAGTGAAGAGCTTCTCTGGAGTGCAGGTTGAGCCCCACAGATCAGACATCACAAATTCAAGCTGAGACTGGGATTGGCCAGGTGGTAGCAGAGCTGTTTGCTAAAAACAGCATGTAGTGTATTCTCTCACAGCTGAATCCCTCCTTCTTTTGATGCTGACTGCAGTAGAGCATTGGGGCTCACAGTGTGCAGACTTGCACAGATAAGTCTGTGGTTTGTGGGAAAGCTGGCACTGCCCTCATTGTGCTTTGCAGAGTTGTTCTTGTAGAGCCACGTTGAGGTGAGATGAGATGTATGTTGTTGTGTGATACCAAAACCAGAGTACCTGGTGATGACCTACATTAGCGATGGGAGAACATACCATTAGTTGGCCAGTCCTTAATTAAACCCAAGAGTTAGACTTAATTAAACCCGTGACCCAAGAGTTGTGACCTAAGGGCTAGCCTCTACACCACCATGCTAACAACTTGTTTTAATCTCAGACTGCTTTTATTCATGTTTCTCTTTATGTTCTTATTGTTTTGATTGTGTTCTTCTACAAGAGAGGTCTCTGTGCAGAACATTTCTAAAATCAGAGAAACCTTAGGTGAAAGTTCTTGAGTAAAAATACATTTTGAAGCTCTTTGTTTTGGATTACCCATCACTCTAGGTAGTACACACCTATGTTAGGCAAAGAGGGTAGTCTGCTGAATTGGACTGATGCTTTGTCATCACTGTAATTCTGTGATAATGAAATTCACACTCAATCCACAGCACATGTACAATAGCATACAGCTTAGTATAGGTAGTAGCATTCTAGGGAACTTTCCAGACAGGGTTTGACAGTGTCTCTTTGTGTTTCAGTACCTGGTGGTGTGCACCTCGCTGTGCCCTAAGGCCTACAGTGACCGGGAGCTGCTGCTGCTACTGTCTGTCGTGTGTAGGGTGAGCCTGGAGAAACAGCTCTGCCTGCTCCCCGTGAAGAACGTGAGCTGTCTACTGCACTACCTGCTCAAGAACATGAGGGACTGGGACACTCAGGCAAGTCTCCTGCTC